GGCACGAAGAGCTTCACAAAAGCCTCCAGGTAGGAGTAGAGGAGCGTGACCAGGAACAGGAGAACCTCCACAAACAGATTCATTGTTTTCCCGGATCTCCTCCGGCGCCCGAACTGAGCCGCGGCTCCGCCGCCTCCGCCCGCCCCACAGCCTGCCGAGACCACACCCCCGGAGGTTCGGCGCCCAATCAGAGAGCGAGGGTGTGTCTGTAGGCGGGGCCTTGCCCGTTCTGGGGGCGGGCCCTGTCTGTGGGCGTGTCTGTGGGCGGGGCCGGGGCTGGGTGCGCTCCGAGCCGCGCTGTCAAAGCTTTTCCCGGCTCCACAGGGGAGGGAAAATAACCTGGGAAATAGCGACTCTTAGGTTGGGATAAGGTAGTTGATTAAAGTAAAAGGTATAAAAGAGAAAAGGTTATTATCTACTTCCCCGCGGGAAGCAGGGCTTCCGCACGCACATCGCACATCCGCATCGCACAGTCGCTCCGGAAGGCAAACACTGTAAATAACAAATGCCCTCCCTCCCCTTCCTCCTTCTCCATTCCTTATGTTTTATGTCCCAGCTGACGTCACGTGGCATGGAATAACCCTTTGGCCGTTTCGGGTCAGCTGGCCTGGCTGTGTCCCCTCCCAGGACCTTGCCCACCGGTGCGGCTGGGAATGCTGGGGACACAGCGCTGACGCTCTGGGAACGCTGCCCAGCGGGCAGCCAAAACACGGGTGTGTTACCGGCCCCTCCCCGAGTGCCGCTGCACGTCCCGGGGCTGCCGCGGGCACGGAGCTCCGCCCCAGCCGGAGCCGGCACCGGGCGCTGCCATTGGCGCTGCTGCCGCCAATGCGGGACCGGCTTGTACAGCGCGGGGCGGCAAGGAGCGGGATCGGGGAGCGGGATCAAGGAGCGGGCCCAAAGGGCGGCATCCCGGAGCGGGATCAAGGGGCGGCATCTCGGAGCGGGCTGCCTCGCATCGCCGGCCCAGCGAGCCACCGCCGGCCTAGCGGCCCGGCCCGGCCCGGCCCCGGGGCTGAGGCGCGGTCGCTGCGCTGCGGTCGCGGTCGCGGCCGGGCCGATGCCACTGCCCGCCGGTGCTCTGCCTCGGGCGGTGGCCGTGCTCTCGTTCTCCGTCCTGCTGGGCGCTGCCCAGCGCCGCCCGGCCCTCAGGTACGGCGGGCTGTGGCGCTGGCGGAGCCGCATTGTCGCTGCGGCCTGTTCCGCCGGGACCAGCCGCCTCACGGCCCGGCCGGGATCCCGGGGCTGCCGTGCTCCTCCTGCCCGCCCAGGGGAGCTTGGCCGGAGTGTGCGGTGTCCCTCGGGTGTCCCCTTGGGGCGGGGCAGAAAGGCAAGCGGGGCTGTCCCTTACAGCGGGGTAATTACTGCAAAGTGCAAGAGTGGTTTTGCCCTTTCCCACGTCTCTTGGTTTTTGTGAGCTTCAGGCGCTTCGCGAGTTGAATATTAGGAAGAATTTCTTCTAATTTCATTAGACTTTGGAATGGGCTGCTCAGGGAGGTGGTGGGATCACCATCCCCGGAGGTGTTTCAGGAAAGACTGGACGTGGCACTCAGTACCACGGTCGAGGTGGCACGGTGGTATTTGGTCATAGGTTGGGTCTTCTCCAACCTAGTTGATTCTGTGAAAGACCTGAGTCTATTCTGCTTTCTGTAATGTGCTTTGCAGATGGGTTATTCAATAGCAAGTTAAAACCTAATGGATGAGACCTTATTTTTATTTTTTCTTTTGGTAGTTTATCTGCAAGCTGTTGGTCCCGTCCTCATCCTGTAAACATGCTCAACAGTTACAATGTGAAGTTCCAGCACAGCAAAGCTCTCACCTCCCCATATCCAGGATCGCACATTGAGCGTAGCCAAGTTCCTGAAGATAAAGTGGGCTGGCTGACTGAGTGGAAAGATTATAATCCTGTGGAGTACACTGCAAAGTCTGTTTTGGCCGGACCCAGTTGGGCAGATCCCCAGATCAAGTGAGTGGAAATGGTGGCTTTTTTCCCCTCTGAAAATGAAAGCAGGAAATAGTCATGAGTTGAGTTAACAAGATCATCTTAAGTGATGTGTGATTCTGCAGTGATGTGTGAAAGTTAAGGTTAAGGAAGGTGATAATTGGAGAACTGAGTCGTTTGGGTTTTTTGTGAGGGTATTTGACACATGATTTTGCTGAGCTGATGGTTCTCTGTGTTGTGAGCTAAATAAAAATCTAATTCTCCTTAAGAATTTGGAAGAACATTTTAGTGATACACTTGTTTGCTCATGGTTGGAATGTAACATGATAAAAGAAAGTGTAATTGTAGTTTTTGAAGGGAGCACTCTGATTCAGGAAATGTGAAAGGTTGAATTAATTACAGAATTTTTTTGTGACTGTGTAACAATGTGTCAGTTCTTCTGTCTCAAGTAACAGGGGATGGAACAAGAGGAAGTAGCCTCACCTTGTGCCAGGGGAGGTTTAGATTGGATATTAGGAAACATTTTTTCACCAGTAAGTTTGTTAGGCACTGGAAAAGGTTGCCTAGGGAAGTGGAAAATCCCTAGTTTTAAATCTCTGGAGGTATTTAAAAGACATCTGGATGTGGCACATGGGGACATGGTTTAGGGGTGGGCTTGCCAGTGCTACGTTGAACTTGGTGATTTTAAAAGTCTTCTCCAACCAAAATGATTCTGTGATTCTACAACTCTTAATCTTAACAAAAATACCTTTGAAACTCTTTGTCTAAATGAAGATTGAGAGAGATGCAATATTAAATACTTTAGTTCTGCAGGGACTGTAATCAGAAAAGGTTAGGACTTCATAGCCTCTTTTAGAAAAGGGTGGGCCTGCAATTCCAGTTCTGGTAAAAACTGCTCATCAACACACTCCAAGGGGCGTTGCTTGTCTGATGGCTGGCATACAAGCTTTTGTGTTTTACAGTTTGTCTCTCTCTATTAAATTCTTATTTGCCACGCAGCCATGAAGGTTTTTCTCCCAAATTCAACGAGAGAGATGGAGAAGTGGAGAGGAAGAGTCTGAATGGCTTGTATGTGGTCGAAAATGGGAGACCCCGGTGAGCGTGGGGTTTTTGTTTGCACATTCATTTCACTGATGTAGTTTCAGTGCTCTTACAGGTCTGTCAGTCCCAGTACATGTTACCTGCTAGGACAAAGCCAAGAGAGAAAAATGGAATCTAGTTTGATGAATCTAAGTTGATGAAAGAGAAAAACATATTGTGTCTCTTGCCCTTTAATGCATGTATGTGCTTTAACACCAAATATGTGTTGCTGTCCTTCCCTTTTTTGTTACTTAGTCTTGATCTGTTGGTTTTTTGAGTTTGTTTTGTTTTATTTTGTTTGTTTTGGTTGGGGTTTTTGTTTGGCTGTTGAGTTTTTTTTTAGAATATTTTGAATGTGGGTAAATAAATACGTTTAATGTACTTCTGTGTTAAGGGTTTGGAAATATAGCAGAAAATAAACTCCCTTTTGTTACAGCTGGTCCTGAGAGATCAGAGGAGCTGGTTGTGGCTGGGCTTAATTTCCAGCTGGAACCAGTTCAGGACTATATGAGTCATGTACTGTGGCGTTCATTTCAGCAATCCGGTGGGAAGGACAGGCCTCACTGGCAGAGGATTGTTGGGGCGCTGGGGACCAAACCATGCTGCTGATCCTGTTGTAACCAGGTAAGGGACAGGTGACTGCAAGGTACCCTGCAGCAGAGAAAAAACCCATGCATTTTGCTTCTTTTCTGCTTCTCTGGACAGGATATTACTTTCCACAGCCCTTTTCTCTGTGTGTTCTCTATGTGTAAGACTATTCTGCTTTTGTTATGTAAGAATCACTAACTTGACTTAGGCTATGATAGGAGGAGGTGGGGTTAGGATGCTCTTTTTGTCACTGTATGCTTTGTTTTGATGTGCTTTTCCCAGCAGGATATGTGTATACTGCTAACCATTTTACACAAAGCATTCGGAAAAGATTATGTGGTTAACAGAAGTATGAGCTAGGAAGTGCCATGCTGAAGGCAGAGCCATTGTGGAGAATCATCCTGATGCATTTTACTTCTTCCCCTTTCCAGAAGGATGCCAATGCCACCGAGTTGCTTCCTTGAAAGTAAATGGTGGCATTGTTTTTGTTTTATTTTTTTGTTTAGACAGCTTTTTGCTTTGCCTATTTGTAGGTCTTAGTTCTTTAATGAAGGTGATGGTGGCTGCTTGTGGCTTTGTCCTGGTGCTGCTCAGCCTGTGTGACCATTCTGTTCCAGCAGAAACATTCTCAGCCTCATAGTATGGATTGGCACAAGTGCAGCTTGGAGAGCTTTCAGAGGAGCTGCTGCTCCCAGCCTGGCTGCAGAAACGTTCCTCCTGGGCATTTTCTGCCCTTTTGGCTGAGGAAGACCCTCAGTGTTCTGCCCTTGGTTGCAATCGTGCTGGATGGCATCTATTAGTCGTCCCCAACTGTTCATTCTCTGCTTTATTTGTCCCACACGGGTAGCAGTGCCTTGCTGTTCTTCTCTCAGGCCCGTGTGTCGAGAAGCAGCAAAACATGTTCTTGTTTGTCATTTTCTGCAGGTGGAAGAGGGATGGAAGTGGCAATAAAGTTGCTCATCCAGTTTCTGGCAAGAACATCTTGCAGTTCGTAGCCATCAAGAGGAGAGACTGTGGGGAGTGGGCCATTCCAGGGGTAAGGGCAAAGCTCCAGAGGCAGCTGGCATTTCCCTGCTGGTGAGGCCATGAGGAAGATATGGCACATGTGTGATTCAGGTGGATGTAATATACTAAGAGCCAGGAGTTAAAATGTGTAGAATCTGAGGACTAGTGTTTTTTTGTTTGTTTTCCCCACTCTAAGGGGATGGTGGACCCAGGAGAGAAGATCAGTGCAACCCTGAAGCGAGAATTTCAGGAGGAGGCCTTGAACTCTCTGCAGAAATCCCCTGAGGAGAAAGCAAAACTGGAGAAGCAGCTCCAGAAGCTGTTCAGCCAGGACCACTTCGTGGTGAGCTCTGTGTCTCTTGTGGTAGCCTCTTGAGCTGTGCATGTAGCTCACAGTTGTATGGAACTTGAAGTGCAGCTGAAATGAAAATAAATTGTGATGCTCATGTTCTTGGGGTGTAGGAAATGGAAGGGACTGTTGAAAACTCT